ACTAAGTGATACACTAAAAAGAAATAATATACGCATAATTGGTATCCCAGAGGAGGAAGAGAGAGGGAAAGGTGCTGAAGGGGTACTTGAAGAAATAATAGCTGAGAACTTCCCTGAACTGGGGAAGGAAAAAGGCATTGAAATCCAAGAGGCACAGAGAACTCCCTTCAGACGTAACTTCAATCGATCTTCTGCACGACATATCATAGTGAAACTGGCAAAATACAAGGATAAAGAGAAAATTCTGAAAGCAGCAAGGGGTAAACGTGCCATCACATATAAAAGGAGGCCTATAAGACTCGTGACGGATCTCTCTTTTGAAACTTGGCAGGCCAGAAAGAGTTGGCACGAGATTTTCAGTGTGCTAGACAGAAAAAATATGCAGCCGAGAATCCTTTATCCAGCAAGCCTGTCATTTAGAATAGAAGGAGAGATAAAGGTCTTCCCAAACAAACAAAAACTGAAGGAATTTGTCACCACTAAACCAGCCCTACAAGAGATCCTAAGGGGGACCCTGGGAGACAAAGTACCAGAGACATCACTACAAGCATAAAACATACAGACATCACAATGACTCTAAACCCATATCTTTCTATAATCACACTGAATGTAAATGGATTAAATGCGCCAACCAAAAGACATAGGGTATCAGAATGGATAAAAAAACAAGACCCATCTATTTGCTGTCTACAAGAGACTCATTTTAGACCTGAGGACACCTGTAGATTGAGAGTGAGGGGATGGAGAACTATTTATCATGCTACTGGAAGCCAAAAGAAAGCTGGAGTAGCCATACTTATATCAGACAAACTAGACTTTAAATTAAAGGCTGTAACAAGAGATGAAGAAGGACATTATATAATAGTGACAGGGTCTATCCATCAGGAAGAGCTAACAATTATAAATGTCTATGCGCCGAATACCGGAGCGCCCAAATATATAAAACAATTACTCATAAACACAAGCAACCTTATTGATAAGAATGTGGTCATTGCAGGGGACTTTAACACCCCACTTACAGAAATGGATAGATCATCTAGACACACGGTCAATAAAGAAACAAGGGCCCTGAATGAGACATTGGATCAGATGGACTTGACAGATATATTTAGAACTCTGCATCCCAAAGCAACAGAATATACTTTCTTCTCGAGTGCACATGGAACATTCTCCAAGATAGATCATCTACTGGGTCACAAAACAGCCCTTCATAAGTTTACAAGAATTGAAACGATACCATGCATACTTTCAGACCACAATGCTATGAAGCTTGAAATCAACCACAGAAAAAAGTCTGGAAAACCTCCAAAAGCATGGAGGTTAAAGAACACCCTACTAACGAATGAGTGGGTCAACCAGGCAATTAGAGAAGAAATTAAAAAATATATGGAAACAAACGAAAATGAAAATACAACAACCCAAACGCTTTGGGACGCAGCAAAGGCAGTCCTGAGAGGAAAATACATTGCAATCCAGGCCTATCTCCAGAAACAAGAAAACTCCCAAATACAAAATCTAACAGCACACCTAAAGGAAATAGAAGCAGAACAGCAAAGGCAGCCTAAACCCAGCAGAAGAAGAGAAATAATAAAGATCAGAGCAGAAATAAACAATATAGAATCTAAAAAAACTGTAGAGCAGATAAACGAAACCAAGAGTTGGTTTTTTGAAAAAATAAACAAAATTGACAAACCTCTAGCCAGGCTTCTCAAAAAGAAACGGGAGATGACCCAAATAGATAAAATCATGAATGAAAATGGAATTATTACAACCAATCCCTCAGAGACACAAACAATTATCAGGGAATACTATGAAAAATTACATGGCAACAAATTGGACAACCTGGAAGAAATGGACAAATTCCTGAACACCCACACTCTTCCAAAACTCAATCAGGAGGAAATAGAAAGCTTGAACAGACCCATCACCAGCGAAGAAATTGAATCGGTTATCAAAAATCTCCCAACAAATAAGAGTCCAGGACCAGATGGCTTCCCAGGAGAGTTCTACCAGACGTTTAAAGCAGAGATAATACCTATCCTTCTCAAGCTATTCCAAGAAATAGAAAGGGAAGGAAAACTTCCAGACTCATTCTATGAAGCCAGTATTACTTTGATTCCTAAACCAGACAGAGACCCAGTAAAAAAAGAGAACTACAGGCCAATATCCCTGATGAATATGGATGCCAAAATTCTCAATAAGATACTAGCAAATCGAATTCAACGGCATATAAAAAGAATTGTTCACCATGATCAAGTGGAATTCATTCCTGGGATGCAGGGCTGGTTCAACATTCGCAAATCAATCAACGTGATACATCACATTAACAAAAAAAAAGAGAAAAACCATATGATCCTGTCAATCGATGCAGAAAAGGCCTTTGACAAAATCCAGCACCCTTTCTTAATAAAAACCCTTGAGAAAGTCGGTATAGAAGGAACATACTTAAAGATCATAAAAGCCATTTATGACAAGCCCACAGCTAACATCATCCTCAACGGGGAAAAACTGAGAGCTTTTTCCCTGAGATCAGGAACACGACAGGGATGCCCAGTCTCACCGCTGTTGTTTAACATAGTGCTGGAAGTTCTAGCATCAGCAATCAGACAACAAAAGGAAATCAAAGGCATCAAAATTGGCAAAGATGAAGTCAAGCTTTCGCTTTTTGCAGATGACATGATTATATACATGGAAAATCCGAGAGACTCCACCAAAAGTCTGCTAGAACTGATACATGAATTCAGCAAAGTGGCAGGATACAAAATCAATGTACAGAAATCAGTTGCATTCTTATACACTAACAATGAAGTAACAGAAAGACAAATAAGGAAACTGATCCCATTCACAATTGCACCAAGAAGCATAAAATACCTAGGAATAAATCTAACCAAAGATGTAAAGGATCTGTATGCTGAAAACTATCGAAAGCTTATGAAGGGAATTGAAGAAGATTTAAAGAAATGGAAAGACATTCCCTGCTCATGGATTGGAAGAATAAATATTGTCAAAATGTCAATACTACCCAAAGCTATCTACACATTCAATGCAATCCCAATCAAAATTGCACCAGCATTCTTCTCGAAACTAGAACAAGCAATCCTAAAATTCATATGGAACCACAAAAGGCCCCGAATAGCCAAAGTAATTTTGAAGAAGAAGACCAAAGCAGGAGGCATCACAATCCCAGACTTTAGCCTCTACTACAAAGCTGTCATCATCAAGACAGCATGGTATTGGCACAAAAACAGACACATAGACCAATGGAATAGAATAGAAACCCCAGAACTAGACCCACAAACGTATGGCCAATTCATCTTTGACAAAGCAGGAGAGAACATCCAATGGAAAAAAGACAGTCTCTTTAACAAATGGTGCTGGGAGAACTGGACAGCAACATGCAGAAGGTTGAAACTAGACCACTTTCTCACACCATTCACAAAAATAAACTCAAAATGGATAAAGGACCTGAATGTGAGACAGGAAACCATCCAAACCCTAGAGGAGAAAGCAGGAAAAGACCTCTCTGACCTCAGCCGTAGCAATCTCTTACTCGACACATCCCCAAAGGCAAGGGAATTAAAAGCAAAAGTGAATTACTGGGACCTTATGAAGATAAAAAGCTTCTGCACAGCAAAGGAAACAACCAACAAAACTAAAAGGCAACCAACGGAATGGGAAAAGATATTTGCAAATGACATATCAGACAAAGGGCTAGTATCCAAAATCTATAAAGAGCTCACCAAACTCCACACCTGAAAAGCAAATAACCCAGTGAAGAAATGGGCAGAAAACATGAATAGACACTTCTCTAAAGAAGACATCTGGATGGCCAACAGGCACATGAAAAGATGTTCAGCGTCGCTCCTCATCAGGGAAATACAAATCAAAACCACACTCAGATATCACCTCACGCCAGTCAGAGTGGCCAAAATGAACAAATCAGGAGACTATAGATGCTGGAGAGGATGTGGAGAAACGGGAACCCTCTTGCACTGTTGGTGGGAATGCAAATTGGTGCAGCCACTCTGGAAAGCAGTATGCAGGTTCCTCAGAAAATTAAAAATAGACTTACCCTATGACCCAGCAATAGCACTGCTGGGAATTTATCCAAGGGACACAGGAGTACTGATGCATAGGGGCACTTGTACCCCAATGTTCATAGCAGCACTCTCAACAATAGCCAAATTATGGAAAGAGCCTAAATGTCCATCAACTGATGAATGGATAAAGAAATTGTGGTTTATATACACTATGGAATACTACGTGGCAATGAGAAAAAATGAAATATGGCCTTTTGTAGCAACGTGGATGGAACTGGAGAGTGTGATGCTAAGTGAAATAAGCCATAGAGAGAAAGACAGATACCATATGGTTTCACTCTTATGTGGATCCTGAGAAACTTAACAGGAACCCATGGGGGAGGGGAAGGAAAAAAAAAAAAAGAGGTTAGAGTGGGAGAGAGCCAAAGCATAAGAGACTGTTGAGAACTGAGAGCAAACTGAGGGTTGATGGGGGGTGGGAGGGAGGAGAGGGTGGGTGATGGGTATTGAGGAGGGCACCTGTTGGGATGAGCACTGGGTGTTGTATGGAAACCAATTTGACAATAAATTTCATATATAAAAAAAAAAATAAAAATAAAAAAAATAAATAAAAGTTTAGTAATTTTTTAAAAGATATTTTAATTTATTTTTGATAGAGAGAGACAATGCGAGCAGTGGAGGGGAAGAGACAGGGGAGACACAGAATCTGAAACAAACTCCAGGCTCCAAGCGATCAGCACAGAGCCTAATGCGGGGCTCGAACCCATGAACCATGAGATCATGATCTGAGCTGAAGTTGGATGCTCAACTGACTGAACCACCGAGGCGCCCCAAGAATTTAGTAAATTTTTAACTGATTGCTTCTTACGTGTTTTTATGCTAGCCACCTCATCCCACCTTACTCTGCCAAGGCTAAAGCAATTCATATGCCAAGCTGTCACTCTCAAGAATTCAGTTTACCTGGTTGTCTTGTAATCTCAGTTTTTGATGCATTTGAGAAAATTTATGATTTTGTAAATTGCCCAGCTCTGTCTCATCAGTGTGGGGGCCAACTTCTCTTGAAGTATATCCTAGGTGGAAGCAAAACCAAAATCATTTCCATCCTGTCTCTCACTGTTGGGGTCTAGAAAACGTTGGCTTTTCCAGGTCTACAAAACTCTGGACTTCTGAACACTCTCCATTTACTTTTGTTTTTGTCTGCCATTTCTTCTCTGAACTCATGTATTTCTTGTGGCACCTACCCAAAGACAGTCAACATACACTATTTACATTCTGTTTTCGAACACATGCTCCAGAACTACTGGCATACTATACTCGAGTTCTCCCTCCCTAAGTGATTGCAGGTGGAAGCTGTAGAAAGTACATTGCTAATGTATAACTTGGATAAGCAACATTTTGATCTCAATATCTGGGTCTTCCCTGCTTTCCGGTAAAGAAAATACCTTAGGGGTTTGTTATGCCATTAGGGACCAATTTCTAGTCAGGGTAAATTATGTTATGCTGTGCAGATCTCTGGTTTAACACAGAATGTTTGCTTCTCTCACAAATTTGATGCTCAGTGGGGATCAGTTTTCTGTCTGACAGCTACACTATTTGGGACACTTGGCCTCAAAAGTTGCTATGTCAATAGAAGGATGGAAGAAACACATTGTTTTTTTTTTTACGTTTATTTATTTATTTTGAGAACAAAAGCATAAGCATAGGAGGGGGAGAGAGAGAGAGAGAGGAGAGAGAGAGAGAGAGAGAGAGAGAGAGAGAGAGAGAGAGAGGGAATTCCAAGCAGGCTCCATACGGTCAGTGCAGAGCCCCATGTGGGGCTTGAACTCACGAATTGCAAGATCATGACTTGAGGGAAAGTCAGATGCTTAACCAACTGAAACACCCAAGTGCCCCAGCACATTGACTTTTGACCACCTTGATCTAAAAGTGACCCCTGTCACTTCTCACATTCCATTGGTCAGAATTACTCATGGCCCCAACTGAAATGCAACAATGCTACGAAACAGAGGAGGAAATAGACCTTATCTTTGTTACCCTGTACTGTTATTCCAAAACATGATCAAAAAAGGCACAAGACTTTCTCTTGTTATTATATTTGAAATAGAGTTAGTAAATATGTGTCAGATGTAACAGTGTCTAGTAATGCACAAAGCAGGGCTTAGATCACCTGAAATTGGTCATTAGCTTCTGCCCTCCCACTCCCACACTTTCTCATGAGGCTCAAATGAAACTGACACAGGAGAACATTTGAGCTCATACACCTCCTCCATGCCCATACATCACCACAAATCATTTTCAGGCCTAGAAATGTCAGAGGTGACATTGAGCTGGCACGTACCAGTGTGGCACACTACCCTTTATACCTGATGGCCATTTTGATTGAGTTTCCATCCTAATGGATCAATGCCCATATCTTGTGATTAATCTTTATACTGACTATCACTCTTGCTTACTATTCGAATATATCAAATCATTTCTAGATCCTACTAGATCCTGCTGGTGCTTAGTGTTTTGTTTTTGTTTTTAAAAAACACCAGTCCAAACCAAATAACATAAACAATAATATAAATAACAATTTATATTAAGTTTCCTTTAAAAGGCAGCTCAGAAGGCTTGCTTAGAACAGATCACCTGAACCTTTCTATACTCTATCTATCTATCTATCTATCTATCATCTATTTTTAATGTTTATTCATTTTTGCAAGAGAGAAACAGAGTGCGGATGGGAAAGAGAGAGGGAGACACAGAATCGGAAGCAGGCTCCAGGCTCTGAGCTGTCAGCACAGAGCCCAACGTGGGGCTCGAACTCACCAGCCAGGAGATCGTGACTGGAGCTAAAGTCGGCCACTTGAACTGACTGAGCCATGCAGGCGCCCCTACATCCCCTTTAAACATCTTTTCCTCATCTAGAATTTTTCACTCATGGCAACGGACGAAATTTCCTTTTTCTCTCTCTGTGCACAGTCTATTTCTGTGAAGTGGTTTTTGGAGTTCATATTCTTTTCCCGTCTTGCTTCCTTTTCCTCTGTAAATCTTACACCTGGCTCTGCCTGCTGCACAAGGCCATTTGGTAAGGTAGCCTGATCCCATCTGAGTTGCTCTACGAGTACTTGGAAATCTGATGAATATATTCATTAGTCACTATTTTATCTTAGACCATACCAATTCTTTCATCAATGCTACTCAGATTTTTGTCACAAGAAAAAATGAGAAGACACTACTCTCAAGATGCTGACTTTTTTTTTTTTTTTTTTTTTTTTGCCACAAACAGAAGCTGAGTAGCTGGCTCACCATATTGCATCAAGCAGGTTTTCAGAAGCAGAGTGATTCTATCTCAGTCACTGCTGATGAAACCTTCCATAAGAGTAGAATCTGCCAACTCCATCACAAACGTATGTGAACGACAGATTTTCCCTGCCTCAGACATTAACAAACTGCAGATGGTAAATAGTTCTTCACTTGAAAAGTTAGATTTATTTCTCAGTCTGTTAAAATGCAAATGCCCAAAAAAGAACACAGCTCCTTGACACAATCATTTGCCAAAGTCTTTGTTCTTAAATGATCTTAAACATAACTGCCCTTTGAGAAGTTATACTCTTGGAATAGCAACATTTAAGGCATGGGTAATCAAACTGATTTTGTGCATGACGCTATTATTATAATTTCTAAAAGAAAAACAGCACTAATCCTCATAGAAACTGCCCTTCTCTAATAGGTCATTTGAAGTTGCACTCCTTTTGTTCCCCCTTCCCAAAAATGATAGACAGATAGATAGACAGACAATTATATAATAGATAAAGGGGATAAATGAAAATGGAACAGAAATTGACATCACTAGAACCACAATGCATAGGCAACAGGGGCTGGTGTACTTGTATGACAGTAAAGAGTTAACAAGGGTTCTTCTGATCCAAATGGTGATGTTAGAAGACCCTGAACTCACCTCCTCGGTGGACATACTAAATCTACACTTATTTATAGAGCAATTCCTTCTAAAGAAGAACTGAGGGCTGACAGAACCGAGGGCTGTTGCGTTTCTATACAACAAAAGATAAAAAGACTACATAGAGAACAGCAAGAGAGATGGAAACACAGTAATGAAGGGAATTCTCACCCTCAAATGCTGTTAAGCTGCAGTGAGGAAGGATGGTATTAAGGGACTGTGAGCAGATTTGTCTGCCCTGGGGCATAGAAAAAACAGCTGTGGCTTAAAAAAGCAACTAGAGTATGTGGGAACCAACCCTAGAACCCTGCCAAATGGTGGCAGGGGGCACTGCTCTGCCAGGCCTCCCTCTGAGAGGGGATGGTGAGTGTTGTGGTTTACATTCTCCCTCGAAGTTCAAAGAACAGACTGGAGCAGGGTCCAGGAGCCATAGTTGGCTTGCCTCAGTTAGCCTCAGGGCCCTAGCCCACACCAGCCCAAGCTGTCCCACTGAGGCAGCCCCAGAGCGGCATGCACTGCAACACCCATGGTCCATGCTCACGACAGCTCCAAACATCTTGTCAAGGTGACACAGGCACAAGGTACCCTGAAACACTCCAGGCCAACCACATTTCAGCTCCAAATGATTTGGTTGAGTACTCTTAGTACAGACCACTCTGGGACCTTCTGGCTAGTGCCTATTTTGGGTCTAGCTGCCTTTGGCTCCAGTTACCCTTCCAGGGTGTCCCCTGTGAGTAGTGCCCTGGGACTCTCAGCCAGCACCTGCCTTGGGTCCAATGGTCCTGCCTGGGAAACCCCTGTGCTGAGCAGCCCAGGACACCCCTAACTGGTACCTATTTCAGTTTCAGCTGTTCAGCCAGGTCACCCTCTTTGTGGAAAGCCTTAGGATCCCACAGCTAGCACCCACTTTAGCTTCACCAGTTTTGCCAGGGCATCCTCTGCATAAAGAGCCCCAGAATCATGCCCACTTCAGCTCTGGCCATACCACCAGGACAGTTTCATCATGGAGTACTCTGGGACTCCCACCCCACACAAGCCACAGTTCCAGTTAGCCAGCCAAAGTCACCAGGCACACAAAGTCTACAGAGGGTACTACCATACACATACCACTACTTCCAATTTAGAAGAAGTAGTTGTTCCACCTAATTCATAGAAACAAACACAGAAAGTCAAGCAAAATGAGGAGACAGAGGAATATGCTCCATATGAAAGAATAAGACACAACCTCAGAAAAATAACCAAATGAAATGGACATAATCAATCTACCTGATAAATGGTTGAAAGTAATGGTCACAAAGATGGTCACCAGACTGGAGAAAGCAGTGGATAAACTCAGTGATAACTTCAACAAAGAGATAGAAAATATAAAAAAGAACCAATCAGAGTTGAAGAATACAATAATTGAAATGAACACTACACTAGAGAGAATCAATAGCAGATTAGAAAATACAGAAGAATGAATCAATGACCTGGAAGACAGGGTAATGGATAGCACTCAAGTTAAACAGCAAAAAAGACAAAAAGAATTGAAAAAAGGATAGGTTAATGTATCTCTTGGACAACACCAAGTGAAAACAAACATTTGCCTTATAGGGGTCCCAGAAGGAGAGGAGAGGAAAAAGGGGGCAGAAAACTTACTTGAAGATATAATAACTGAAAACCTCCCTAAAGCAGGAAAGGAAACCCAGGTTTAAGAAACAAGATCAACCCAAAGAGGTTCACACCATGACACGTAGTAATTAAAATATAAAAAATGAAAGAGAATTTCAAAGGAGCAAGAGAGAAACTACTAATAATGTACAAGAAAGGCCCCATAAGCCTATCAGATGACTTTTCAGCAGAAATGTTTCAGGCCAGAAGTGATATGTTCTAAGTACTGAAAGGGGGGAAAACCTTATAATGAAGAATACTCTACCTGGCAAGATTATCATTAAGAATGGAAGGAGAGATAGAGTTTCCCAGACTAGCCAAAGTTAAAGATGTTTACCACCAATAAAATGGCCTTGCAAGAAATGTTAAAGGAACTTATTTAAGTAGAAAAGAAAATGCCATAAGTAGAAGCAAAAAAAATTATGAGAGGAAAAATTGCCATGAGTAAAAGTAAACACACAGTAAAGGTAGTAAAGC